AAGAACCCAAAAACACCAAGATCAACCCAATCCGAGCTCAAATGAGTCCGAATCAAGGGCTCAAAGGGCTGTTGGAAGGTTCAAACTGCAATTGGAGTTACCAAATGGTCTCCGATTTTGACGAGCTTATACTCGAATCGAATGGCTCGACTAGACGAATCCAACGAGCCCAAGATCGCCGAATTCCGACATCACTAAGGCCCGCCGACTACAGTCTTTCCGACCTCCGTCGCCCACCGACTACGGTCCTCCTGACTTACGTTGCCCGCCGACTACAGTCCTCTGTAGCCAGCTGACTACAGTCCTCCTGACCTACGTCGCCCGCCGACTGAAGTCCTTCCAATAAAGCGAATACGTCGATAGTAGCTCTTTGTATTTACATCATGTAATGTACTCCATAAGATGTACATCAAGCTAAGGCCTTCTCCCAAGGAAGGGCCTCATTTGTACTCGACTGCAAATACTAGTGGATTCGTTCAAACTGGGCTAGGCCCCGTGGTTTTTCCCCCTTTTATAGGGGTTTTCCACGTAAAAATCTTGGTTCTTATAAATGCTAGACCCTCTCTCCTTATCTGATTGCGTGCCGGATTTTCGTATAATGCTAAGACGTTAAATATAATATTTCTCTACCACCGTGAATACTCCAGGACACAACAGTTTGGCGCCGTCTGTAGGAACGTGGTTCCCGACTGGAGGGCAACTTTTGCTCCGATCTCAAAAGATCACTCATAGCATCAATATCATAAGAAGCAGATACGGACTGAGGGGAAACTTTGACTCAAACCATGGTCAAATAGATCCTCCAATACCTTCAACACCAAGTTGATATTTCAGGAATATCTGAGCAAATGCAAGGATACTTTAAATCAATTACAAGCTTTATACAGTCCATTGTTGGACTTCTACTCCTCCAGCAAGGTCTTAACCTCGACCTCAAAAAGGCAGTAACGGTATAAAAATAGATCATTCTTCACCTTTGATTCGGGATACACGCGACATTCGCCCCCTCCCAATCAAGGTAAAATCGATTCAGGGGGATCCGATTCGGCCTCTTCCACACATGTTAACGTCGTCGAGCAAAGGCTCCGACATACAACCTTGGAAAGGTCTCACATCCTTGGTGGTTCTCTCGGCCTCTTCCACACAGGTTAACGTCGTCGAGCAAAGGCTTCGACATACAACCTCGAAAAGGTATTACATCCTTGGTGGATTCTCTCGACCTCTTCCACATAGGTTAACGTCGTCGAGTAAAGGCTCCGACATACAACCTCGGAAAGGTCTTACATTCTTGGTGGATTCTCTCGACCTCTTCCTTACAGGTTAACGTCGTCGAGCAAAGGCTCCGACATACAAGCTCGGAAAGGTTTCTTATCCTTGGATGATTCTCCCGACCTCTTCCACATAGGTTAACGTCGTCGAGCAAAGGCTCCGACATACAACCTCGGAAAGATCTTACATCCTTGGTGAATTCTCTCGACCTTTTCCACACAGGTTAATGTCATCGAACAAATGTTCTAACATACAACCTCAGATAGGTCTTACATCCTTGGTTAACGCCGCCAGAATGCCGTCAAGGGACTTCCATTTAACTTCTCCACAAACTTAAATTTCTACCCAATGTCTAATTTCCTCTTGTCGCTAAATTTTTGCTTTGCAGGACTTTTGTCGGAATTCTGCCCGTTGACGAATTCTCGTCGGTCTTCGACCCGACGTTGAACTTCTACCCGACGTCGGACTTCTGCTCGTCAGCGGACTCCTACTCGTCGTCAGACTCCTGCTCGTCGAGGAATTTTCGTCGGTCTTCTACACGACGTTGAACTTCTACCCGACGTAGGACTTCTGCTCGTCAGCGGACTTCTACTCGTCGTCAGACTCCTACTCATTGACGAACTTTCGTCGATCTTCTACCCGACGTTGAACTTCTACTCGTCGTTAGACTTCTGCTTGTCGACGAACTTTCGTCGGCCTTCTACCCGATGTTGAAATTCTACTCGTCAGCGGACTTCTACTCGTCGATGAACTTTCGTCGGCCTTCTACCCGACGTTGAACTTCTACTCGTCGTCGGACTTTTGCTCGTCGACGAACTTTCGTCGGTCTCCTATGTTGTATTTCTACTCGACGTCGGACTTCTTCCTGTCGTCGGACTTCTGCTCGTCAGCGGACTCCTACTCGTTGCCGGACTTTTGCTCGTCGATGAACTTTCTTCGGTCTTCTACCCGACGTTGAACTTCTACCCGACGTCGGACTTCTTTCTGTCGTCGGACTTCTGCTCGTCAACGGACTACTACTAGTCATCGGCTTCTCGCTCGACTGTTACTTGCAACGCACACTCGAACTCTCTCCTTTTGCTCCACACTCGATCGTTTACTGCTAATGGGCTTCAACTCGATCGTCCATCGCCAGTAAAGTTCCGCTCAAATGGCATTAAAAATCTCGTAACTCCTACGCGCAAGGAGGGGCGCTAATTCGAGCAGGGGAAATTTCCCGCTCGTAAATAGCGAAAGCCTCAACCGCTAGAGAGCCAGAGGGAGAAAGAAAGAGAAGTTGCAAATTTTCTAAAGGCATAAGGGGCCTATTTATAGGTTTTGAAGAGAATGAGGGGGAGTTACTATCATTTTCGAAATCCCCAATTTTTTAAAATTTTTTCCGGATTTTTCGGAATTTTTAGGAATTTTTTCGATCCAAAAATAACAAGAAAAGTTTTTCTCGCATGTGGGACCCGCTTAAGTCGGTGGCTGTGAACCGCCGCCCATAAGACTCGCCCATGCAAAGCCTTGTCACATGGATCACGCAAAAAAAAAAAAAAAAGCCCATCTCACGGATCGCACCTAAAAAAAATAATAAAAGAAAAGTTGAAACCGCACGCTGCTGACTGCGAGGTTAGCAACCAGCCGTGCCTGTTGGCGCCGGCACGCGCTGGCCGGCGCCGCTGGCGGCTAGCGGCGGCCGGCCGGCCGGCCGGCCGGTTCGGCCGCCTACGAGTGTCTGGGCCCGATTTTCGGCCCGGACGGTCCGATTTTGACATTTTTGGGGTCCCCAGACACGTTTTTCGACGTTTTTGACTCGATTTCGACACTTTCGGAACTCAACGGGGCCTCTACAATCAAGTTTAGCAAATGTTCAACTTTATGGAACACAATTTTTTGCGATTTGGCCAATGTAAAAGTTTGGAACAAGTATTTTCTGGACTTTCTAGAGCTTCGACGTCCGAAAATTAGGGGGGCAACTGATACGGCATCACAAAATTATCTTGATCGGGCATAAATCTCGAGGCAAAAGCTAGTTGGAAACTTTCAAAAATTAATTTTGGGAGCCCCCGAACTCGCATTTCAGCTAGCTTACAGTCAAACTGAGCGTCTCGGAAATACGAACCCAACAACACCAAGATCAACCCAATCCGAGCCCAAATGAGTCTAAATCAAGGGCTCAAAGCGCTATTGTAAGGTTCAAACTGCAATTTGACGTTACCAAACGGTCTCTGATTTTGAATGAGTTTATACTCGAATCGAACGGCTCGACAAGTCGATATAACGAGGCCCAGATCCGCCGAATTCCGACATCACTAAGGCCTTCAAATGCCCAACGAACGGTGCATGATCAATAGATTCGATATCGACCGTCCATTCAAACCACTCCTAATTCCCCTTGATCTCACGCCTATTTACGGGCTATGCACTCCAGAAAAACTATAAATAGAGCCCTCATTCTACACAAAGAGGAGGAAGTGAAGAGAGAGAAGAAGAAGAGGAGAAAGGGGAAAAGGAGATTCCTCACCTCCTCGACCACCACCGGAGCTCTTCCTGCCGCTTGAAGTCGCCGAAACTCTGCCGGATATTCGGGAGAATGCCAGAATTCTGCCAAACTTTCATGGGATGCTGAAATTCTTCCCAATTTACAAGAGAATTCCCTCATGACGCCGAAACTCCGCCCAAGTGAAGCCGGAGTTCTCTTCTTCCACCAAAGACGTCGGACTTCTACCCGACGTTGGACCTTCACTCTTCGCCAAGTTTCTACCCGACGCCGGACTTCTACCGGTTATCGAACTTCGCTGGACGTCTATGCGAAGATGCATTTCTTTCCACTGCTGGACTTCTACCTAACGCTGTCCTTCTGATCTTCGTCGTCAGACTACAGTCCTTCAGTCCTCCGTCGCCAGCCGACTACAGTCCTCCTGACTACAGTCTTTCCAACATCCGTCGCCCGTTGAATACGGTCCTTATGTCGCCCGCCGACTACAGTCTTTCCGACCTCCGTCGCCCACCGACTACGGTCCTCCTGACTTACGTCGCCCGCCGACTACAGTCCTCTGTAGCCAGCTGACTACGGTCCTCCTGACCTACGTCGCCCGCCGACTGAAGTCCTTCCAACAAAGCGAATACGTCGATAGTAGCTCTTTGTATTTACATCATGTTATGTACTCCATAAGATGTATATCAAGCTAAGGCCTTCTCCCAATGGAGGGCCTCATTTGTACTCGACTGCAAATACTAGTGGATTCGTGATTTTTCCCCCTTTTACAGGAGTTTTCCATGAAAAAATCTTGGTGTCTTATAAATGCTAGACCCTCTCTCCTTTTCTGATTGCGTGCCGGATTTTCGTATAATGCTAAGACGTTAAATATGATATTTCTCTACCGCCGCAAATACTCCAGGACGCAACAGTTATTATTTTCTATCTATCTATGCGACTTATTTTTTATGTTTCTATGAAAAAGTGCTAATTAAAAAGAAATAATAGTATTATCACACTAAATTTTAGCTCAGTTAATAATTTAATTGGGTTCACAAAGTTTAAACACCTCATCATCGAATCGATATGGCTCAACTAATACATATGCATTTATTAGAAATTCTAATTTAGATTAAACAAAAAACATAACAAATAAAGATAACTATGTTGCCATTTGGTTTAGTTTGATTCTATGTATGATTTGCTCTCTTGGGTTCTATCTATTAATTAATTTGATTTACTTAATTTAAAAAATATGTCAATCAGTTTATTCGAACCAAACTCAACGGGCACTAGGTGGTATTGTGTGATTGATTCACTTAATCGACCGCCCACATTAACTTTAGCTATTTTAGTTAAGAAATTGAAGACTGAGACCAGCAGCCCATTTGATAGCCCAACAGATCGGCAGCGCCCGAGCGTTCGCAGCTTATCTACGCCTATATATAAATTTGGTAGCAGGAGGCAAATGCATAGAAATTCCCCCGTCCCCTTCCAGCATCAGCCACAAAGGAAATTAATTTATATATTCGCCGACCCTCAAATTTCCCATCTGGAACCACCACTTCCACCGCCTGACACTGCCCGACTCCAATTCCCTTTAAATTAACCTGCATGCCACTATTGCCGCCGACAAATTCACAGGCGAAATGATCACCTTGAGAGACCTTTACTCCGTCCTCACAGCCGTAGTGCCACTCTACGTCGCAATGATCCTCGCTTACGGCTCTGTCCGGTGGTGGCGTATATTTTCGCCGGAGCAGTGCTCCGGCATCAACCGCTTTGTCGCCATCTTCGCAGTTCCACTCCTCTCCTTTCACTTCATCTCCACCAACGACCCCTACGCCATGAACTTCCGATTCGTCGCCGCCGATACTCTTCAAAAGGTGATCGTTCTCGCCGCACTCGCCGTTTGGGCTCGGCTCGCTAGTCGTGGCTGCCTCGATTGGTCCATCACCCTATTCTCCCTCTCTACGCTCCCCAACACACTGGTCATGGGAATTCCTCTCCTCATCGCTATGTATGGACCATACTCTGGATCACTCATGGTCCAGATTGTCGTTCTCCAGTGCATCATCTGGTATACCATCATGCTTTTCCTGTTCGAGTACCGCGCCGCTCGGATTCTTATTGCCGACCAGTTCCCTGACACTGCAGCATCGATTGTCTCGTTCCGGGTGGACTCAGACGTCACCTCTCTCGACGGCGGACGGGATTTGCTCCAGGCAGAAGCTGAGGTGGGAGGTGATGGCAAGATCCATGTAACTGTGAGAAAATCCACATCGTCTAGGCGATCCATCTCGCTGATGACGCCCCGGCCGTCGAATCTCACGGGTGCGGAGATCTATTCGCTCAGCTCGTCGAGGAATCCAACCCCAAGGGGATCCAACTTCAACCACTCTGATTTCTTCGCCATGTGCGGTGGAGCACCGCAACCGCCGCTCCGGCACTCAAATTTTGGCCCGGGAGATCTCTGCTCTATGCAATCATCCAGCGGACCGACTCCTCGGCAGTCCAACTTCGACGAACACCACCACCATCAACAGGGTGGCTCGCCCAAATTCGGGCATTACCCGGCGCCGAACCCTGAAATAGCAGCTGGATCCTCCGCCGTCTCGAAGAAATTGCCAGCTACGACAACTGCGCCAACACATCGCGCGGCGAACCACGACGCAAAGGAGCTTCACATGTTCGTGTGGAGCTCGAGCGCGTCTCCGATGTCGGAGGTTAGTGGACTCCCTGTGTTTGGCGGAGCGGACTTCACTGCCGCGGATGGCCGATCGGATCTCGGCGCGAAGGAGATTCGCATGATCGTTCCAGCCGATCTTCCATCCAACGACGGGAACAAAGGTACTTATTATTCCTCGCTTGTTTCCTAAGCGGACTTTTTAATCCGAACATTTAAGTTTAAACAAACCTTTTCCATCATTTAACAGTAAATGGAATCGTTACTGTTTACTAATCCCCCCTCCATTCGAAATGCTGCAGGAGCTGCGATTCCGGGAGACGACGAGTTCTGCTTCGGTGGCGGGAGGAGCCTAGAAGAAGGCGACGCGGGGAAGGGGGATGGGGGGCAGGACGGGCTGTCGAAGCTGGGATCGAACTCGACATTGGAGCTTCACCCAAAGGGTGTTGCCGGCGTCGGCCGAGGGAAGGAGTCGCGGATGCCGCCGGCGAGCGTGATGAGCCGTCTCATTCTCATCATGGTGTGGCGCAAGCTTATCCGCAACCCCAACACATACTCCAGCCTTATCGGCCTAATCTGGTCCCTCGTAGCCTTCCGGTCTACAACCTCTGCTCCGAAAATTCCTTTATGCTAATTCTATTTTAGTTAGCAGTTAATAATTATTATTATTCTTAATCTGCTATACAGGTGGGACGTCCACATGCCTAGAATTATTGAGAAGTCCATATCGATACTGTCCGACGCCGGACTTGGAATGGCCATGTTCAGCTTAGGTGTCTACTGCTTAATTCAATTAACTTTTGATTAGTAAATTTTGTAGGAGTGGGGGATAATCTGTTAAATGGTGGGCCCGGGAGGACCCCGTTCCTCGGAAAGCGGAGGCAAGTCTCCGGTGGTCCCCGGGGCTGCTTCCCGGTGGTCCCCACCCATCCGCAGAACCGAAACAAAATTTAAATGCATATCTGATATAAATACGTCTTCTGCTTAAATAAAGTTCCATCTTTTAATTTTATAACAGATATATATATATATATATATTAAATACTAAAATATAATACATTATTTTTTTGTGTTCATTTGGTTGCTAGTAAATAAAAAATTTGTTTAAAAATATTTATTTTATTTTCTAAGTATTTTGATTATTAAATTATAATTATTACTTTGAAGAGAATTAAAAAAATGAATTTAGCAAAAGTTATCATTTCTGAATTTTTTTTTTTGAATTTAAAGAAGATTTATTGTTTTTTAACTTTTAGTGTAGAATTGTAGAATAACCGTCATTTCAGGAAACGCTGATAACAAATTTTTTTATAACAATAAAAATATATTTTGTGTGACAAGATGTGGGACCCAGATTACTAATAAATGGTTGGCCGACGGTGGTTGCAGGTTTGTTTATGGCTCTTCAGCCGAAGATCATCGCGTGCGGAAATGCTGTGGCGGCCTTCGCGATGGCTGTCCGATTCCTCACGGGCCCAGCGGTGATGGCGGCCGCCTCTATCGCCGTCGGCCTCCGCGGCGATCTCCTCCGCGTTGCCATCGTCCAGGTACATGTGCATTCGATCCCTCATCTCTTTCATCATTAATACACGCACACAGCCGTACCTACGAGCGGACGGCTGACACGTGGCCCCTCTGCGTGCCAGTTGTGGCTTGCTGGTGGCCAGCCCACAGGCATGGAAACATGCTTGTCCTCTTTCGCTTCTAGCGTTTATTTCTGACCGTCGGTTTGTGATCAGGCGGCCCTACCGCAAGGCATCGTCCCATTCGTGTTCGCCAAGGAATACAACGTCCATCCAACTATCTTGAGCACAGCGTAAGTAATCAAGAAATTAAATCATAAAATGATAAATAATTTCTAATTAAGAATTCATCTTTGTTATTAACTTGAATTCGCAGGGTTATTTTTGGAATGCTGATTGCTCTGCCCATCACGCTGGTGTATTACATCATCCTTGGATTATGACGGCGGTGTTTTGCCGGGACGAAGAGGGGATGAAGATATGGAGTCTTCGATAGCGACGTGTAAACCTGCAACTCCTGAGCTATGGGGACGGTCCATCCCAGCAGGAGCTGTAAGAGATGTTTTTGAAGCGCTTAAAGGATTTGACAAGAAGCGGAGTAAGCTAGGGGTCCAGTGAGAGGGATAAGAACGACGCTTTAAACTTTTGTGCAATTTTTGCTTTCTTTTGGTATATTTTTCGACTTGTCATATACCTCGCATAAATGAACCTCTCGTTTGGCTTTGGTTGAAAGGAAGAACAAATCCTGAGTTTAATTTTTTCCCTTATAACTTCCAGGAAAAATATGTAGTAGATTGCTCTTTCCAACTTTTTAAACTGAAGTGTAAAATTCATCTCAGCCCACTCATCCTTTAATGCTAATCTTTATTTTGAATAAATTAAGTTCTAATAATACTAACAAAGGACGATTAAGATATCACATCTTGGTAATTTACTGTTAAAATTGTTAATTTTTTTATTTCATCATTAATATTTTGAAAATAAAAAAAAGTTATTGTGCTTTTAATTTTGATAATAGTCAGAGGCAAAATTTTGGGAAGGAGCTTGTTAGAAGTGAAATTTAGGAGAAGAAGCGTGATTGGAAAAGAATTTGAGAAGCGGCGTATACGCTCTTTTAATTAGCGCATTCAAAGAATGCGCTCAATGCATTGGCGCATTCTTAGAATGCACATTATAGCATGGCGCATTCTTTGAATGCGCGGTAGCGGTTAGCGCATTATGCGAACTTCCGTTGAATGCGCCCTTTCTTTCGGCGTATTTCTGCTATACCCGTTTTTATGGAATCAGTGCAATGGCAGGCGGAATCTTGCCTCAAATTTGATGCTTTTTTGATGGTTTATTGCTCTCGGAATCTGCAGTTTACAATGTGTACGTATTTTTTTTTCTTGGCATTAGGTGGCAGTTAAACCCGATTTTGTAAATGGAAGCCGAACACCCACCAATAGTTATATTTTTACGTTTGAGGTTGGGATTGATAATATTGTTGGGATAGAGTAATTTTATTATGTTTAAGAAATGTAAAATTAAAATACAATTATTAAAACCAAATTTTTTTGTAATGAATTAAAAAACTTGAGTATTATTTTTTAAAATAATTTGAAGTAAAAAATTGTGTTATTAAATTTTATTAAAATCTTTAAAAAAATTTGAAGTAAAAAATTAATTTTTTTTTTGAAAAATGCCAATTACAAAAATAAAATAATTTTTAGGAAAAGATAATTTAATTTATAATTAATATTTTTGAAAAAAATAAAATTTTAAATAATTTATTTTTGGATAAATAACATTACTCGAAATATATTATTTTCCATAAAATAAATAATTAGAGTAAATTAGGGTAATATTTATGTGAGCACATGAGAAAAAAAAAGTGTTAAATTATATAAATTAAAATTTCTTTAAAATAAAGTATAGTTAGAGTGAAATGTATAAAAATACTTAGCATCTTAAATTTGATAGTTGAAATAGACTATTTTTTAAACAACCATACCTTAGCATCTTGTCAAGAAACATGTTTCTTTACTTAGCAGACTTGATACCTCCCACCGTGTTTGTTAGTTATTTGTTAAAATTAGAGGTATGAAAAGAATGTATTTTATGTGAATTAGTAAACTTTTTATAAAAACTTGTTAGTGTGAGATATTTCAAATATAATCAATAAAAATAAAAGTAAATATGAAATAATTATAGATATGAAATCAAAGTATTGTATTTCTCATAAGTATCCTATTTAAATTTAAAATAATATTGTTATTATTGATTTTAGTTATTTATAAACTTGTGAATAATATTAAGATACATTATTAAAGTTATGTTAGTTGTGTGAAGTAGGTATTGAGAGATGAAAATAATAAGAATAAAATAAATATAAAGGAAAATCTATAAAAAATATTTAAAATTTAGAAGTAGGTTTAATTGATTTAGATATTTTTAAGTTATCATTGTTATATTTAATAATAATTAAAAAATGAGTAATGATGGCTGAAGTGCTATGAACCTGTAGAAGCCCAAAAACTAAAAATTTGGAATAAAAATAGTGCGAAAAGTAATCAACACAAGTTCATGTTAATACATACGATAATGATTGAAAGAAACATCAAGAAAATTAGTATTACATGTGGCTCAGTACTATGCGCATACGCGCTTGGAGTTGGGTTAAAGTTGGACAGCATAAGAATTTTTCTGTGAATTGCTTTTGGATGTATTGCCAATCTTTTATATTTTAGAACTCCTTTTTACCATCTATAATATTCAGCTCTTGATATTTTTCTGATAGAAATGCATCTTGATAAGTATGCCACCTTTTATAAAGAATACAATGTTGCACATCAGTTCTTGGATTCTCAACATTGACCACAACAGAACCATCTTTTTTTCATGTGATTTCACCAATTCTTGTCCTAAGAATATTTATGGGAGCAAAATGATCATTATGATCCCTAAACCTTTGTTATACATATTTCCATCCCACATCAGTAATTGTTTCTCCTTCCACATACATGGGGTAATGACTTTTAATAACTTCATGATACACATCCCATAAACTATCATCTTCATACAAAGACCATTCATGTAAACAACATCGAAAAATTTCATTTGATCTTGATTTGTCCTCCAAGTATTCATCCTTGGGATACGACATAAATTCTGTCAATCGAATAGTACAATCATAGATCAACTTCTTTCTTGAAATAATATGTAGGAAACCTCTTGATGGCGAGCGCTTTATTGATGAGGTCCTTGATGATGAAGACATTAAGTGCTGAATATTTAGCAAATGCAATATGAGTTATCATTATAAAAATAATAATACATAAAATTTAAAAAAATAATTTGAGAAGTAGAGTCACATTAATAAAACTAATTTGAAGTTGAGTAACAATTAGAAACAAAAATATTAAGCATCAACAATGATTGGCCGATTTTGCCCACCAATATATGTGGCTGTGAACTCATCGATCCCCGATATGCAGCTCTCCACCAAAAAATAATAGCAAGCGTGACATGCTATCCTAAATTAAAGATAGAGGAGGGTCAATTAACATAATGTCATATTTTTTTAAACATCTTCACTTATCATAGTGCACATAATGTACGTAATGAAAAGCGTTTTAACGCGTCAGAATACACTTTTTACCTCATTTCTGAAGAAATGAACATAATTAAATTTTTCGATTCGATTAATAAAATACGTTCACCTGATATTTCATAATTTATACTGGTTCATATATATGTTGGTCTTCATTATTTTCATTTGTTTGTCTTCATTATTTAGCCTAAAGTCCAACTTCTTGCTTAGACAAACAAATAACAAAAGTGTCTTAACTTTAATTCAGAAGATTGATCTCTTGCAGATATCAAATAATATCTCTCCTAAATATATCATGATTTCTTCTCGACACCTCTCTAGTCAGATTTTTTCTTATTACTTTTTCCTATTCTTTAATTTTTTTTTTTTGAAATTCAAATGAAATATCCAAATCCATATCTGCTATATAATTTTTTTTAAATAAAAAGTGCTCTACATGTATACTTTCCATAATTTCCTTTTTTTATTGTATATTCGAGTTTACATTTTTTTCAATAATGAATCATATACATTTTCTTAAAATTAATATTGCTTCAGTGGTTTTATATTTCACAAGCACAACAAAAGGTAAATTTTAATTTTCTAAGAATTATATAAATTAATATTTTTTTTAACATTTAATATTAAAATTTTAATTTTAAAAAATCAGTACTATTAACTAAGGTTATTGTGGGGCGGGTGGCAACATCTTTGGATTGGTGGGAACAACAATGGTTGTAGCTAATGGTGATAGTTGAATTTTAAAAGCATTCAAAATACTGAAAAGTTATTTTGAGTGTTTTTCAATCAACTTTATTTATTTCAAAAAATAAGAAACATTAAATTACTCACTAAACAATAATGTTTAAAAAATAAAAAAGGAAAAACAATCTAAACTTTAGGGTCTACATTATACTTGTGTTGTTTTTAAAATTATAAACATTAATTATTTGAAAAAAATTTATCTAATACATGTTAGTTGGAAGTCGAATTTATGTATGCAACATTTAAATTATCTTTTCTTCTCCTCTTCCTACCTTGTCGTGCGTCTTCCAAACTTAAAACTTTCCTTTAATTTCATCCCCTGGATGTAAATATTTCTCTCGCTCTCTCTGCCTTGAATGTAATGTCCAAAATGAATAGTATTTATAGATGGGGATTTGCACAGAAAATCAAAGTTACAACTAACAGCTATGCAAATCAGTTCATGGTTTCCTAAATCTCTTAAAAAAATGACCTGATTCTTTTCACTTATACATATCTCATAAAAAATACCAATAAAATCTGAATGAAAATGGAGACCTCTTGATATATCCACCAATCAAATTCTCTTTTTATTTTAGAAAAATTTTGGAATACTCTTCTGGAACATAAACTTTTTTGCTAAGGAATAATATTTATTGTTTTTTCCTCTCCAAAAATAATAAGGAAAAACATTTATTTAGAAGATCCTTAGCAGTCAAGCTTAGTTTCTTTTTTAAATTTGTGGAAAAATTTAAAAAGGGGGGAACTAACATTTTAGTTCTTCATTTCAAGTAATTATCATTAACGGATAAGTACACTGTATAAAATTAATTATACTTCAAATAATTCATCATATACTTTTAAATTAATATTTTTAATAGACTCTGGCAAGGCAGTCACATGTATTTGCAATATGATAAATAAGCTCTCCGGTCAAACATGAAATTATAAATAAATTCAAATAAAAATATGACGAAAAAATAAAATTACTGTTTCCAATATAAACTCTTCACTCAAACATTAACACCTTCAACTAATAAGACTAAACATCCTAAGAAATAAATAACAAACAAATTACAAAATTAAGCAAACATGAGTTCTTCATTGCAAATACATCAAGAAAAATTAATCATACATTTCACTTTTTGTCAGATCACATATAAATGCATTAAAAACTAAAAACAAAGAATATTCAACAAAAATTAAAAAACAAACTAAGGAAAAATGTAATTACCTCTCTTTCTCTCTGAAGCTAAGGAAGTGCGAGCTGAGAGCTGATGCATTTTCCCTCTTCACCACAGCCCCGTTTTTATAGGCAGTCTACATAACTCACAACGCCATTTGCTTAACTCCCAACGCCATCTCATTAAAGCCCTATCATTACCTCACTGCACTGAATGCCACCCATCCAGCGCAAATTGGCCGCAATTATCGGATATGGTCGGTGATAACAAC